GCACGCGTTTCCGGGCTCTTCCCCCACCAAAATTTAGGCGACGGTTCTGCAGCCCACGGAGGACAGGGCCGCTGGAGGGACCTGCCACCCCACCCATGCGCTCGGCAGGCCGGCACAGGCAGGGACAGCGAGCGCGTGCACGCCGACGCTCACCGACCGCGATGCCAGGGTCGGAGTTCGCCGTCTGCACCAGCTCCTTGCCCTGGTGGCGGATGACCCAGTTGGGGTCGATCTGAGTGGTGCCCTTGGGGTCCAGGTGGACCATCTGGAAGTTCCTGAAGTCGGTCTCACTGATGGCGTTGTTCTCAGGGCACACATCGTCAATATCCGGCACGCTGTCATTGTCAAAGTCGTCTTTACAAGCATCTCCCCTCCCGTCACCTGTCACCAAGGACAAGTGGAAAAGTAAGGAAACACAGGATACGGCTTGCCACCGGCCCTTCCCTGTCTGAGAGAAGCCAGCGCACGATCCCCTGCAACGCAACGGCCGGCATGCTGTGTATTCCGTGCGGGAGCCCACGCCTCCAGCCCCTCGGAGAACCCCTCGCTGCGGGGCTCTCCACGCCCTTCGGCACACCGAGGAGCTCAGCAGGGCGGCCTGCCACCGTCACCTCCCCAGGGGGCCACCTCTCACCTCGCCTGAGCTCAGAACGGGTGCGGAACCCGAGTGGCCGTAAGGTGACCAAGTGGCCTTCTGGCTTTTTCCTCATAGGCCAGAGTCTATTACCACCTTTCGTGATCACCCGCCTACCGTGTCCTTGGCACGTAAAGCGGCACCCATGCTAAGCATGGTTTTCTCTGGGGAGATACGGAAGCTCCTTATCCACTCTCCCAGCGAGGTGGCGGGAGCAATGGGGGCGAGGTGGACCACAGCCCCCGGTCGGTGAGGGACGGGGGTGCTGCACCGTCACCCAGTCTGTGGCACGGTGCCAACCCACAGGCAGGCCGGTCAGCCAGACCAGCCCACGGCAGGGCCGGCTGCTTCAGGGAAGGTGACCGACGTTCAGCCACGTTCCCACCGCATCCCTGCCGGCCTTTCCTTTCTGCTCACGGAGACGCACCCCACGGCCGGGCGGCCGGGAATTCAGGCGCGAAGAGCTCTGAAAGCCACCGGAGGGCTTGGCGGTGTCCGCCCTCCAGCCAGGCCTCCCTCCTGGGGAAGCGGCCCCGGTCTCTCTGCCCAGAGCTATGAGCTGAGCGGCTGTGGGGATACGTCTGTCCCCAGCTCAGAGAGCCCCGTGTTCACTGCCGGCTGCTCCATGGGGGTCCCCGGGGCTGCCCTCTGTCAGCGATTCCCACATGCCCCTTGGTCACACTGGCTCAAACACCCAGGGAGCCGTTGTCGCCACCCATGAGGAACGTGCATTCTCTACATAGTGCCCGGAGTCAGCAGGATCCATCTGCAAGCCGCTGTGTCCCACCTGGACCAGAAGCCCCAGGATGCCCAGAGCCCCGAGCCCCGCTGAGCACCTGGTGACTCCCTTCGACCCCGTGGGAAGGCCATGCCCACCCGGCCGAACTCCCCGGGCCCCCGCCCGCAGCGGCCCCGGGCGCTCACCGCCAAGAGCACGCCCCGCTCCCACCGCTAGGACCTGCTCTGCCCTTGAAATAAACCCACCCTGTCTCCTTGCTGCCGTCACACACCGACTTCTGCTTCATCCTGTCGCGGGCCTTCTTCACAAAGGCCCCCAAGAGTTTCGAAAATTAGGGAGAGGCGGACACCTCCGCTCACCCCGACGTGGGCGACACCAGCAGGAAGCCGAAGAAATGTGCCCGCGCACCAGCCGTCAGTCACCTACCGTCTGTGTCCTCCTGGTCGGGGTTGAAAACCAGCCGGCAGTTGTCCCTGTCATCTGGCACCCCGTCATTGTCATCGTCCGAGTCGCAGGCGTCACCCTTGCCGTCGTGGTCGTGGTCAGCTTGGTTGGCATTGGAGATGTAAGGACAGTTGTCCTGGTTGTTCTGGTGGCCGTCCTCATCGATGTCCTCGTTGTTGTCACACTGGTCTCCCACAAGGTCATTGTCCACATCGGTCTGAGGGACAGAGCATGGGGACAGCGTTGAGCATCCATTCGGTGAAATGGGTGCCAGGGTGACAGCCACCCGTGGGCGCTTCGGCTGGACCACCTCCTCCCACAGGCGACGGACGGCTGGAGCACGGAGAGCAGCCGGCTCCTGAAGGTCACACTGCTGTCCACGCACACCTGGGGCTGGGCCCCGCTGCCTCCCCCAGCCACCTCCCACGGGGCCGCTTCGCTTAGGGAAGAAGGGTCAGCTCCAGGGCCAAGCCCCCTTTGGACGTCATCCCCAAAAGTATGGTCTACGGACCACATCAGCATGTCAGCTCTCGCTGAGTCTTCTGAAAGCAAAGCCGAGCCTGCCGATCATATTGGGGATGTACAGACAATTCAAGGACAACACGGTCCCTCTTCAAATGGGGGGAGGGGTGAGGCGTCCGTTCATCTGGCCTGTGGCCACCGACACGCGAAAGTCCTGCTCAGAGCCAACTTCAGTACATGTTTTCAGTAAATATTTGTTGGCAGAGCTAATGGAAACCCACAAAGACGTCTGTGTCTGCGACTGACCTATGACCAGTCAGGCCCCCCAAGCCTGCCCTCTGCTCACGGACACCCCGATCGGGCGCCTGATCCACTACCTGGTCGGGGTTGTGCACCAGGGGGCAGTTGTCGCAGTGGTCACCCACACCGTCACCGTCGGTGTCTCTCTGGTCCGTGTTATAGACGTAGGGACAATTGTCTCGCTCGTTGAAGACATCTGTCAGTATCCAAAAGAAAGAGAAGCACGTGACCTCCGAGAAAGCTGCTTTTCCTGTCACGTCACAGCCCGGCTTCTAATAAAAGCGACCTCGGGACACAGCACGGTGTGAGGAGCGCTGGGCGCGTCAAGTGTCCCCTTCACGGTCAGCCGCTCTTCGTGTAAGCCAGGGCCGGCTCTCAAGCCTCCAGATGCCGCCAGCTGCGGCTGTGCCGCCACGGGGCCGTCTCGGAGCCCGCCAGGTCCAGGGACCCGATGTCTGTCCAGAAAATGGCCGCTAAGCGGGAGCTGGCTGTCTCCCCAGGTACCCTGCCTTGTCACCCGTCCCCTACACCTGTGGGAAAGTGAGGACGGCAAGGCTTGGCAGGGGTTTTCAGGGAAATACCTTATTTCAAGAAACGTAAAAACCAATCATGAATTCTACCAAGATTGGAACTAGGAAAGAACATGACTTAACCCTGGACATCAAAGACGCCATATCAGGGACCAGGCACACACGGCGGAGCGCGGAGACAAGGCCGAGGCTCTGTCTTGTCCTGACCAGGGGGGCCTGGGGAGGAGGGGGTGTTAGCCGGGGGTCCAGGGAAGGTGGGACAGGACCTCAAAGAAGCGCAGGCCACAGACGCCAGCTGGATCCGGAGGGGACGCCCAACTGCCCAAAGCCCTAGATGCTGGCACGTTAGTCACTGTCCTGGAGCGGGGACAGCGGTCAGTGTCGTACCAAGTTACACCCAAAAACCCTCAGGAGAGGGGCGCGGTCAGGCCAGAAGCTCACCCGGGGCTCAGGCTGGGGCGAGGCAGGCACCGAGGGTACAGGGACCGGGACGAAGGGGGCCTGGTGGTATCGGGGTCCCCTCCGTGGGTACCTGGAACCTGAGGGAGCTTTGCAGTGAGTGTCCAGTGAACAGGGGGCGCGAGGGCCTGGACATGTGTCTCGGGAGGGGGTCCTGAGGCTGGCGACCCCCCACTGCCCACGGGAAGGACTGAGTTCGGCTCCTGTGAGGGGCGCCCCGCCTCGCACCAGCCTGCAGACGGCCCACGCGGAGGAGCCGTGGGGCCTGCGCACGGCCCGACGTGGACGCGAGCGCCCCGGACGCGGGGCGGCACTGACCGTCCCCGTCGATGTCCACGGAGCAGGCGTCGCCCTCGCCATTGTTGTCCGTGTCGATCTGTGCAGGGTTGTGCACGTAGGGGCAGTTGTCACAACGGTCCCCAACCTCGTCCTTGTCGTAGTCGAACTGACGGGGGTTGAAGAGGAGCTGGCAGTTGTCCTGGAAGGGCAAGGGCCACGCGTGAGAAACGGCACAGGGACGTCTGCCGGGCGCTCGCGAGCTCTGTGCCACAGCCGGTCGACCACGGCCGCAGAGAGCGAGGAGCGGGCGCCGGCCAGGTCGTCACTGCTACGCGTGCCTCCGCCCGGCATAAAGCAGACTTCCCACGGGAGGCCCGGAGACCACACGCCGCGCGGGGAAGACAGACGCCACGGGATAAATGCCACGGGAACCAACGAGTCGGGCATCGGTCGAGGGATCAAGGAAAGCCAGGTGCGGGGCCGCCGCTGACGAAATGCGCGAGGCCCGTCCTGCTGGTGTGGCCCGTGTGCCGACATCGAACCGTCGCATTTGCAACCATCTTTCAGAAATCGGTGACTCGGAACGTCACCATAAAGGCAAGTGGACCAATCTCGGCCGCAGCTGCCGCGCCCACGGCCAAAACCCACGGGGGGCGGGGAGGGGGAGGCGTGTCCCTTACGCCACCAAAAGCGGGTCAGGCACCGACAGCGTTCTCCGCGGAGCGCGTGGGCAGCCGCGCCCGGATGGTCGGCTGCTTCGCAAACCCAGCATTTGCCGTGGTGACGCGAACGTGCGGGAGCCCGCGGGGACCCCTGACCCGAGAGCGGGCGCTGGGACGGCACTGCCCTGACCTTCTCATCACTGACGCCGTCATTGTCGTCATCTTCGTCACAGGCGTCGCCAACACCGTCCTTGTCGAAGTCTTCTTGCCCTGAGTTGGGCAGGTGGGGGCAGTTGTCCTGCAAACAGAGGACACGTGCTGGTCACAGCAGCGCCCTAGGAGCCTTCACGCAGGAAGTCTGCGGTCCCCGCGCTGTCACCGGGAGCCGGGGCCTGCCACCCCGGCACCCTGCCCGGAAGTGCCGCCGGGAGGGTTTGGAGCGTCCCCTCCCCGCCCGCATGCTCACCTTGACGCAGTGGTAGGTGGCGTTGGTGGCACACACCAGGTTCTTGTTGGGCCAGCCGTCCAGGTCCGAGTCCTCCCCGCAGATGAGTCCGTCGCCCGCGTAGCCCGTCTGGCACTCGCACTTGTACATGGGGTCACTGAAGTGGCCCAAGAAGATGCATTCCGCGTGCTGGTGGCAGCTGTGGGTCTTGTCCTTACAGGGGTTCTCAGGCTCGCACACCTGCGAGGAAGGGCACACACTGAGACCGTCGTTTGGCGGAAAGGGCCAGGCCCAGGGTGTGGGGATCCCCTGGGGTACACGGGTGGCAGCTGCCGAGCAAGCATCCGGAACATGCGTCCCAGCCTACAGGACACGCTGTGCTGCCACTAACTCACGAAACAGTTACCTGGCGCTCACGGGCCCCCTGCACAAAGACCCAGCCTGAGTTCTGTGCTCTCACGGCCTGTGCCCGGCGACAGCTCTGCACCCACGCGGTCGCCCGCGCCGGCAGACAGAGCCCGGCCACCCACAGTCCTCAGTCTCCGCCCACCCTCCGTCGCTCTAGGCTCTGGCCGGTGGCTTGGAAGCCTTCGCCGATGACGCGGAGGCGGCTCACCTGCTTCTCCATCCTGGCCGCCTCCAGCCCGACGCCGAAGGGCTGGCTCCCTTTGAGGCGAGGCGGGCACGGCAGGCAGTGGAACCCGGGGCGGGTGTTGACACAGCGGTGCGACTTGCCGGTCGAGAAGCAGACGTCGGTGACCACAGCACACTGCAGGGACGAGCGGAGGTGAGCCCGCGGCTCCCCGGGCCCCGCCCCCACCCCCCACTGCCGGGCAGGCACCCACCTCGTCCAGGTCCTCGCAGTGCGTGCCGTTGCCCAGGAAGCCCGCCGGGCAGGAGCCGCAGGCCCAGGAGCCGTCGGGGAAGCTGCTGCACTCGGCACCAGGGAAGCAGGGGTTGGACAAGCAGCCGTCTGCGGGGAGGCAGGGCGGGGTGAGGCCGGGCGGGGTGAGGCCGGGCCGGGCCCATGGGCGCCCATCAGGACGGACACCGACCGCGGCCAAGGGGCTCGCGTGGGCGCTGACAGACGGCGGCTCAGCTGCCGTCAAACTCAGTCCGTCAGGGAACGCCAGTGTGTCGTGTGCTGTGATACTGGGCAGCCACCAGACGTGACCGGCCCCAAGAACGGACAGCTCGGTGGGCGGTCACGTGTGTGTCCTGCGGTCGTTAGTGTGTGCAGCGTCCGTTCTGCGTGGCACGGTTCTGTTTCTACGTAAACGTGCGGCAGGAGCGTGGTGCGGGTTAACGGCGGCGCTCCCTGCGTGCCTAGAGCGGAGTTTTCCCCGCTGTGTTTCCCGTGCGTTTCGTACTTTTAATCGGAACGAAGGCGCAGTGGCCACTTGGAAGACCACTGTGGCTGCGCCGGGAGGCCCGGGGCGGCCGCGACCCACCTATGGGGCAGGCCCTCCGGCTGCACATCTGCTGCTCCCGGACGTCCCCCACGCAGGCCTGGCCTCCGTGCTGCGGCTCCGGGCTGTTGCAGACGCGCGTCCGCTCCCGGATCCCTCCGGCACAGGTGACCGTGCAGGCTGACCACGGGGACCAGGGGCTCCAGCGACCGTCGACTGCGGGGGAAGAGTGGGAGGCCGTCAGGGCGGGTGGGGCCTGCTCTGCAGGGACACGGAGGGACGAGCGGGGGATGTGATTCTGACGGCCTGAGACCAGGGGCTGGTGTCGGTGACGGATCTCGATTGGTTCTGTTTTGACCTCCAGGAAGGGAAGTCGCACAGCCTTGGCGTCTAGAGGCTGAGGACCGCTGATGGGGCCGCTGGCAGCGGGCGCACCTCTGCCACATACGCGAGGCGCTCGTGCCCAAGAGGGTCTGTGACATCGGGGTCCATTTTAAACGGCCGCCGTCCATCACTGGCACAAACAGGTAATGGGCGGTGGAAGAAATCACCCTGCATGTCTGTTCTCCCGGGTCTGGACACCGTGATCAGGTCCCCACAGAAGGTCCTGGCACTGGGCCCGCATGTGCCCCGGAAGCATGGACCCCGCCACCCGGTGGCGGAGACGGCCGTGTCCTGAGACACGCGGGCTGGGACAGCCCCCCGCCCAGGCTCTGGCTCACACAGCGCAGCCTGGCCCAGGCGCTGGGCACTGGCGCCAAGGTCCAGCTACAGAGCCGGCCGGCTCTGGCCCCACCGCCCGTCCCACTCACTTGGGCACGGCGGGCCCTGGCAGCCCTTCGTCTCGCGGCCGCTGCCTTTGCAGGCCTTCCCGCCCATCTGGGGCACCGGCGAGTTGCAGAGCCGGATCCGTGTGATGTTGCCCAGGCCGCAGGTCGCAGAGCAGGAAGACCAGGGCGACCAGTGGCTCCAGCCGCCGTCCTGCCGGACTAGCACACAGGGACGCGGGCCATCAGTGGCAGGACACCAACCAGGCTGGATGCCAGGGGAGCCCACTGGAGCCCTCGGACAGAGGGCAGCGGGTGGCACCGACCCACCCCACGGGGACGGCCGAGAGGCCTGACACTCACTGCGGTTGTCACACTTGCCCAGGCTGCACGCCCGCGTCTGGATGGACGGGCCCAAGCAGGTGTTGCTGGTGACGTCGCACGACCGCCCTCTCTGCTGGGTGCCAGGCCCACAGGTGGCAGAGCACTCCGTCCACTCCGCCCACGGGGACCAGCCCTCCTCGCCGTCCGCCGCTGCGTGGGAAACACAAGGACCCCGTCAAGCCTCCGCCCGGTGACGGGCACAGACGGACGGGCACACGCCGTGCCTGGGACCACGCCCTCGGGACAGCAGATGTCGGCTTCCCACGGGGGAGGACACTCTGTAGTGGGCAGAGGCCCCGAGGATAAACAGCGGGAACCACCCAACGAGGGTCCTGTGCTGGACACCGGAGGACGCACCAGAGACAGCAGTGCCACTGCCCAGCGTGGGGTCGGGTGGTGTGGATGGGACCCCGTCCTTCCACATGAGGCCCCCGGGCTCGTTGAGACTTACTCCCACGGACCCTCCATTGGCTGATTTACACATGGCGGAACTTGCCTATTTTCACTTGGAATTACAGGTCACTAAACTTAGTTCTAAATAATTCAAATTGGGGACAGTTAAACAGGAAGACAATTCCCTACGAATAAGTTTCTCACAGGTGACGACAATCCTTGAGATAGGGAAAAATGGAAGAATCTTCCTGGAAAAGGGCGAGGCGCGGCCGCTCGTTCTGTTTCGTCTGGGGAGAAGGAACACGGGAACGCGCTGTGATCGGGCCCCGGGACGCAGGACAGAAGTCCAGCACCGTGACACCCCTGCTGACACCGAGCTGACGTGGGCCCCAGGCAACCGCAGTCACACTCCCGGCCTCTGGTACGGTGACAGCCGCTGGCCACAGCAGGTCAGGTGCCGTCACGTGCTGGGCTGCTCGCTGGGACCACAGCATGGCCTCTGCAGCGCCACCACCACTGCGTCTCACAGATGATGACTCGGAACCTCGGGGGTGTCCCACCCGCTCAAAATCCCCAGGGGCTGAGCCCGATCTCTCGAATGCACCCGAGGACGGCACACAGCGGGGCCAGCGGCGGGACGGAGGCTGTCTGCGCACTCAAGCGTCCCCACCAGGCCAGCCCAGGCTACACGGAGGGCAAGTGGGGGACAGGGGGGCCTGGTGGGGAGAGACGCCGGGCAGCTCGGAGGAGCGGCACGTGCCCAGCCTTTGTCACTAGCCCTGAGCCCAGACCAGGAGCGTGAGGATAAGACACAGGGAAGGGTGAAGCACGGCCTCGAATCCAGCTGGGGTCAACCCAGAGCCAACCCAGGACCCGCGATTCACTCGACGCCATGGCTGACGGAGGAAAGGAGGCAAAGGGCCCTGCCTGAGGGAGGGACAGGCACCACAGAGGGCCGGGGTGGGACGCAGTGGGGACGCGGAGTGGACGGCCGGGGTGGGGACACGGTGGGGTGCGGAGTGGAGGGCCGGGGTGGGGCGCGGAGCAGAGGGCCAGGGGTGGGGTGCGGAGCGCAGGGCCGGGATGGGGACGCGGTGGGGTGCGGAGCACAGGGCCGGGGTGGGGCGCGGAGCAGAGGGCCAGGGGTGGGGTGCGGAGCGCAGGGCCGGGATGGGGACGCGGTGGGGTGCGGAGCACAGGGCCGGGGTGGGGCGCGGAGCAGAGGGCCAGGGGTGGGGTGCGGAGCGCAGGGCCGCTGGTAGCCCCGGGATGGGTGACTGATTTCCAGCAAGTACAGAACGGAAGACGGAGAAGAAGCTTGGGCGAAGGCGCAGTGACAGGCGGAGAGCGCTTGGGGGCTGGGGGTGTGAGGGAGCAGCAGGGACTTCAGCAGACCTGAGGCACCTACCAAGTGGCAACAGGGGCCACCGAGGGCCAGGAACAGCACTGCGGTGGGCTAGCGCCTGCGCCCTGCAGGGACCCCAAGTGAGGCTCTCCTGTCAACTCGGCTGTCGGGACGTGGGCGCCTCCACGGGGCAGGGACAGGGTGTGGACGCGCGTCCCTTCCCTCCGTGTCACTGTCTGTTCCGGGGAGCGAGCCTCTGTGACTAGAATGCACCGCTTGGGTGATGGCGGCCGGCTCGTTCGTCCGTTTGGCATTCTCATTCCTCCAGAGGACGCGTCTGTGAGGCTTACTCGCCCCTGCCTCTGGGCTCCGCACGGGCCTGCCTCACAGCGGGGTTCACTCACCGGGCCCTGTGCCCCAGTGCTCACCCACTGAGGGGGGACGGCCGGGACACGGCCCCTGGCTTTAAAGCTTCGCAGGCAGCCACACCCTGGGCCCCGGGAGCGACGAGCGGCCAGGCACGGGCTGGAGGTCGCCCTGCCCCACGCTGACCATGCCAGTCCAGGCCTCAGCCCTCCCCTTGCTGGCGAAACTACCGGCCACTACTGGACGGAGGCGTCTCTCGCTCTCGGCGACACTCACAGGGGAAGCAGGAGGGGCAGCATTCGCCCTCTGCCACGGTCGGGCTGGCACAGGTCGCGGGTGGGCAGGAGATCTGGTGGCACACGGTTTTGAACTTCTACAAGTAAAGAAAGACATTCGTGTGACATGCGTGAGATGCGGGGTCCAGGCCCAGGCCCAGGCGGGAGAGGGCGTCCGAGGCCTCACCTGGCAGGCGCACTTGGTGCAGCTGTCCACCACCCAGGTTTCATTTTCTGCGAAGAACCGGCCATCTTGCCAGCAAGCCGACACGTTCCTTGTCTTTGGGGGGCCACCGATGAGCTCCCAGAGGAACTGGTTGTCGCTAGACTGGAAAATCCGGGGACGGTTTAAGTTTGGACACGGGTCACCACGCTCACAGACACAGACGTCCCTGCTGCCTCAACAGCCCTCGCCGTCGAGAGTGGGGACTGACTGGCCTGTAGAGCATCTCCGGTGAGATGACACAGCCACCAAAGGTGACGATGACTCAATCTGTGTCAAACCTCCACAGGTGCCATCGCACCCCAGAGCTCTTAGCCAAAGGCACCTCAGCCGCACCTGCTCGCTTAATGTCTGGTCTCTGCAGTCACCGTGCCCAGCAGACAAAGCTGCCTGGCGGCACCAGACAGTGAGACAGGGCGGCGGGGAGAAGGGACAGGGAGGCAGGGGAAGGGACAGAGCGGCGGGGAGAAGGGACAGGGTGGCCCTCCTGGCCGACCCCAGCTGGAAACTGAACTCCGCTTGTCACCTCAGTAGGCAAGGGCAGGACAAGCACACACAGGATTCTTATTGTCTGGGGGTGGGAAATACAAAATTTAAAAACACGAGTAAGTGAAACTTACAGCGACTATGCCCTGAATGCTGCATCGTTCACCCCTCCCCCAGCGCCCTCCCCTGGCTGAAGCTCCCTGGGGACATGGTCCTTGAGTGGTGGCTTCTGATGGGCTAATAGGACCTCTGAGAACTGGATGGAAGTCGTGGACCATCTCCAGCGCCAACACACAGAAACACAACCTCCCCGATTTTGGTGCCCTGGGAGCTCGCCGCCGCCCTGACCCCGGTGCAAGTGGCATGAGCGTGTCCTGGCCGATCAGTTCATGGCAGAGGCGCTATGGCCGGCTGCTGTCACCGGGTGCTCCCCAGCCAGGCTGAGGCGCCCGTTCTCAGAGATACCTAACGTGCGTCTCGGGACAAGCATCTGTCAAGTCAACTCACCCAGAAAACCAAGCTGCCGCCATATCCGAGGACCCGCGACTTCCCCTACAGTCAGCGGCACCCTGCGGAGGTCATGCTCCAACCCCCATTCCTGCCCCAGCCGTGCATGTGGTGGAATGTTCCAGAAGGTGCTTCCCCAGCCGGCGCCCTGACCTTTGCCATGAGCTGCCCCAGCTCCGCTCATTCCCTGGGCCAGCCATGGAAGGGACATGGTGCTGGTCCCACGCCATCCTGCACAGACTCACAGGGGCTCAGGGGCCCTGCACCGTGGAGCAGAGCAATGGGGACAGGCGGTGACACAAGCATCTCCTGCGAGCCCTCGGGACAGGAGGAAACTCAGACGTGAGACCCCTTCCCAGCGCTCCCTCCGTGTCCCCTGGGGCACGAGCCACAGTCGCCTCCCACCGGGCAGGAGCTCAGCCTGCAGCTGCCAAGAATGACATGGCTCAGGGAACCTCGTCACCACGGACAACTTTCTCTCAACTTTAACCCGCAAACTACAAAGCACCTGCGACAGTCCCCTGCTTGCGTGCTGTGCACGTGAACTCAGAGTGGCCATGGGCACGTCATATCCTCAGGGACAGGCCCATGTCTCAGGCTCCGCGGCCACCCCGCCACGCTGGACCCCTCTGCGTGGGTGACTCCCGTCACCGCAGAGGTGACTCTCCCAGGCTGTCCCTCTGGGGGACGTGTCGCCCTACCACACGGGGTCCCAGTCCCTCTCACGTGCACCCAGCTGTGCTCTGGCCACATCCTTGCAGAGCCCCGCAGAGACCCCAAACGGTTTGGCGGGTGGTGGAGGTCACGACGGGGGACACGGTGCTTGGCCCTGGGCCCCTGGCACCCACCACTTTGTGCAGATTCTCGTGCAGCTGGTTGACGATGACGCGCAGCCCCGACAGCTCGCTGACCATGCTGCTCAGCTCCTCGCAAGAGCGCTCGCACACCCCGGGCCTCTGCTCGGCGCCGGGGACCATGTGCTCTGTGCCGGAGACCACGTGCTCTGTGCTGGGGACCACGTGCTCGGCGCCAGGGACCACGTGCTCGGCACCGGGGACCACGTGCTCAGTGCCCGGCGGGCTCAGGCGCAGTGTCTCCGTGTCCTCGCTGATGGCGTTGGCTTCAGCTGCGGGGAAGCACGAGAGGTGGATCAGAGCGCCTCGGAGGCGCACAGTGGGGCCACCTGAGGTAGGCTGGTGCCACCGCCCTTTCCTTGAGGGTGAGCTGTCTCCCTGTCCTCTGCTGTGACAGTGACATGCTGCCTAGCTCAGCTGAGGGTCCTGGGTGACAGTGACGATCGGCCATTGTTGAAATACAGCGGGGCTCCGTCATCAGGGCCCCCCGGGAGCCACCCCCGGGTGCCGGGTGTCAGTGTGCTCTCTCAGCCTTTTCGAGACTTCTGCCTTTTCAACGACCACACCCCAAAAAGGGGCTGCACGTGGGCGTGTTAGCTGGGGCTGGACAAAGGAGACGAGATTCGGTCGTGAGCCACAGCGGCCTCGGCCAGGAGGCCTTGGGAATGGCGAGCACGGTCGCAGGAGGCATTAAAAATCTCCCCTCCCTCCACGTCTGGCCGAAAATCACTGTTTTGATTCTTTGTCCTACATGTACTTCAACTACCCAATGTCTGGAAGACGGACGGACGGACGGGAAGGCGGACGGGCGCCTCAGGTTGAAAGCCCCAGGCCTCGGCCTATGACAGGGCACCGAGGGGCCGGTCTCCACAGTTTGATCCATAAAGGACAGCTTACTTTTGTCACGATTTGGGGCTGACACAAAGATGTGCTCCTAATAAGTCACACAGCAGATAAGACACGGCCCCCTGCGGACAGGGGGGTGGGGGAGGGTGGCCAGCCTTGCTGCTCATAGGTAGTTACACTTGGCAACTCATAGGAATGTCCTGCACCTCAGCTTCCTAACCTCTCAGGGGAACACAGTTGGGTCCCCAACTCACACAGGTGTTCAGAGGGTCCTTTGACAGACTGGGTTTAAAGAGTCCAGCACAGTGACCTTCATGAATTTAACGCTCAAGAAAATGCTGGCAAATCATGGTTGGACATAAATTCAAAAAGCAGTTAGCAGACGATGGGACAGCACGGACTTTCACAAGGAGGCCGTCCCGACAGCTATGAACGGTGTGAGGAGCCCTCTGTCACCCAAGCCCGACGAACGTCTGTGCTGTTAGCTTAGTGACACGCTCTTCACACATTAACAGGCTAGAAAATTGGCATGCACTTAAAATCATGTTACAAGGGCAGTGATCTGTTTTTTTCAGCTCGTAAATGGGATATTTTAGATTGTTAAAATTTATTCAGAATCAATCCTTCGAGCATTAATTTTTCATTATAAAACGTCAGCATGTCTAAGTCGACCAGCTAACTAGATGACGACAGCGGCATTTTATTCAGGTGTTTATATTTGCCTCCCACTCACCCACATTCTCACACCTGTACACACACGCACACGCAAGCACATGCACACGCACATGCACACATGCATCCACACGTGCACGGGCACACACATGCAGGCACAGTGCAGACACACTCATGCACACACACACGTGCACACACACATGCGCACATGCACGCACACGCACACGGGCACACACATGCATGCACAGTGCAGGCGCACGCACGCACGCACGCGCACACCGTAGCGGAGTCTGTCCGAGACGGGAGAGCACGGGGCGCGCGTGGGGAAGGTCGCTCACCTCCCTGGCCGTGTGGACAGCCGTTCATGCTCAGCGCGCCCTCCACCGAGTTCTCGAACACCAGGCGGACGTGCTGCAGCAGGCCCTGTGCACGCGCAGGGAGAGAAGCAGCGTGCGGTGAGCACAGCGCCTGCGGGGTGACGCCGCGGGAACGCGGGGCGCGGTCTCGAGCAGGGAGGACACTCTCTTCCCCGCCTTTCTGCTCCGCAGGTTCAAAGCCTCGGTGCGAGGGCTTATTCTGCGTCTGTCACTTCCAAAACTTTTTAGCCACGACACCGACAAAGGGGTTTAAACTCAGTTACCTTTTCCTCGGAAAACTGAGTTTAAACACACATTTGTTTCCCTATCTGGAAGGGAACAATGTGTCGGCTCCGCGGCAGGCCCCGCGCTTGTGGTTTTAGCAGATCCTCTTCCAGAAAATACTTTCATTCAGGAGAGGATGGAACCGCCCCTCATAAATCAGTCTCCTTAGAAAAACACAGCTGTTAGTTTACGTTCCTCTCATCTCAGTAGTGAATGGGAGTGTGGGGGGGTGGTCCCCATAACGGGATCGGTCTGTGGTGACTGGAAACATCTGAGTGGCCGAAGCCAGGACCATCACATCGGCCGTCCGGCCGGTAACCGATGGCCGTTTGTGCAGGGGGCAAGTGCGCCTGCGACAGCTCACTCTGCCCATTCCTGATGTGGAACAGTGTGGTGTGTGTGCGCGCGCGCGTGTGCAGGCGTGTGGTGGTGTGCAGGGGAGGTGTCTGTGTGCGTGAACACACGAGTACCTGGTATAGCATTTGTGTGTGCACGTGTGCGTGTTTGCAAGTGCGTGAGTCTCAGCGTGCACTGCCGTGCATTGTGTGAACGTGCGTGTGGGTGTGGCGTTCCTGCGTGCGTGTCTATACACACCACATGTGACGCACGTGCGTGAGCGGCTGTGTTGTGTGTGCGTGTGTCCCTGCGTGTGCCACACGTGTGAGCATGTGCGTGCCTGTGACGCACGTTCGTGAGCGGCTGTGTGTGTGCACATGTTCCTGCGTGTGCCACACGTGTGAGCATGTGCGTGCCTGGCCTGCACTGGCACGGGCACCACGCCGGGGCACGCCTGGCTGTCAGGTCTCCAAGCCCCCTCCGCCTCGCCCCGCGGGGTCCTGCCGCACGTACCCTGAAGTGACTGTCCCGAGAGGAGCCCTTGGCCACGTACATCCTGCTCTTGTCCGTTTTCAGCTGCTCGTAGAAGGGCTCGTCCAGGGCGAAGCTGTCGATCAGGTCGCAGCCCACGTACAGGCTGAAGGTCTCGGCGGTCACCTGGATGGTGACGTTCTTCCACTGCGAGTCGGCCAGGCCCACGTCCTCCAGGGAGAGGACGTGCTGCGTGCCGTCCAGCCAGTAGGTGAGGTCCAGCGTGTCCGCGGGGCCATTGGATACGATCTCGAACTGCCTGTGGGAGGCGCCGGGGCCCTCCAGGGCCAGCAGCGTGCCCTTGGTCTTGCGGTCCTGCTTCAGGGTGGCCATCAGGAAGAAGCCCTCCCTGGCCCGCATGGCCCGGGTGATCCTGCCCAGGGCGGCCGCGCCCACCGGCGGGATGTAGTCGAACCGCACGAAGCGGTAAGCCGGCCCGCCGGGGTCCGGGCCCCGGAACTGCTTGGCCCCAATGGTCTTCCGGTTTATGTTGCTGGCGCTGAAAAGGTCCACGACAGTGTCCTCGTCCTGGTCCCCAGCTGCCAAGGGAGCAGAGCAGGGAGGTTAGCGGCAGGCAGGGTGGGAGGCCAGGGCAGGTGGCGAGGGCGACCTGCGCACAAGGGCTTTCGCTCGGCAGCCACCGCCCTTCTGTCCCCTTCCTCTTCTGCAGGTGCCAGTGCTGCGGGGGTCAAGGCCAAATCACCACCCTCTGTCCCCTGCTGCGACTCCAGGTGCGGTCCCCGAAACAGCGGCTGGCCCCAGGGCTAGCTTCCACCCTCGACGAGTCAGGAGCCATAATCAACAACGGAACCAAGCCGGTGACCGGCTACGCCACCCGGAGCTGTGTTTAGAGCCTCCGACTCTGCACGGCAGGAGCCCCGAGGAAGGGAATGGCCCTGAGGGGCATCCTGGCTCACGGTCCCGACCTTGTCCCAGCCCAGACTCCGAGCCATGTGCTCCCATCCCAGATCCCTGCAACCCGCTCTCGACCATCTGATTGCCAGAAAAAAACCCTAAAATGAAATGCATCCTCAGCCTTGCTATCCACGTGTGTCAGAAAGCAACTGGACCGTGTGTTGCTTTCTTCCTGAGATCGTCTGAGTTTAACAAACTGGGGTGCTGTCTCTTTGTCCTGCAGAAACGCTGCTCCCACTTGCCCGCTGCCTGCAAGGCTTGGAGGCAGTGGCGGAGTCAAGTCTGAGACTAAATTGATTTACGTCATCATCTAAACTACTGGAAAGAGAAGTGATCGGACCTGACCAAAATCACCATTTAACGGACTCAAGAGAACTTACTGAAAAGGAAGTTTAAACAGAGCATAACCTTTCATCCGATATTTGGCAAATTAGAGCTTTACGACCCCTGGAGTAGCTGAGAGAACTATGAACTGCATCGCCGTCGAGATCCCAAAACCTTAGAATGATTAAAACCTTCGATCCGGCAAGTCTACTTTTGGAACTTTGCTAGTAAAAATGTACTTACAGTGCTACCGCTTGTGGTATCATTTATACTAATGAAAATAAAGCAATAATGTAAGTGAGAATTGGCTTTTGGAAAGTAGAGGTTAATCTTCTGACGGGATGTTATACACTCATCAAAAATATGCTGTAAAAGTATACAGGCCTGGGAAAATATTTTTATAATATATTTTTAAGTGGGGAAAAGAAGCCGAAAGCAAAGAAGTTAGAAAGTACCTAGTAAACACAGCCCGTAGAAAAAGGGCCAAAATGTGTCCAGGAAAAACTGTATCTCCAGGTGGGAAGGTATTTTTCTCTAATACTGGATTTTTTCCCAAATCAACCATATCCTGTTAAATGGACTCAGCAAACAAATATTTACTAAAGTCAGGTAAGAGGGCTCTGAGAGGTGAGCTGCTCCAGCCGCCAGCGTCGGTGGTGGCCCTTCCTCCCTCAGGTGGCACGAGGCCGGACGCCAGGCAGTGCGTTCCCCACTCACCCTGGGCGCTGCAGGAGGCCCACAGGCCGGGCAGGACCAGCATCCAGAGCATCCCGCCTCTGAGCGGCCGGACTCCTGTGGGCAGAGCAGAGCCTGTTAGATCTGAGTGCACGCGGCATCTTTCCGCGCAGGTCCACGTTTTCACTCACGTGACCACTTAAAAGCAGCTTATACACAAACGTCGCAACAGGTGGCTTCGTGGGAAGTAACAGCGAGATGAGAAATGTGCTTTTCAAGTGGGGCTGATCGTACTGAACGAGGATTGCTGTGAAGCTCTGAGCTAATCACATGCTAAATGCTCATGGTATTCAGTCCCCACCGTGACCCAGCAGGTAAACCTTGTCGTGGTCACCCAGCGGTGCAGTGAGGGGTGCTGGGAAAGCCAACCTCCCCCAGGGCAATGCTGCCCCGAGAAATGCCGTCCAGGCTTGCACCAAGGAGCCGGAACCTGGGGACACACCGGCACGGAGGCGCTGGTGTGAGCAGCCAGGGAAAAGTTACACATAACAATTAAACAGAATACGTGTGAGCTGCAAACGAGAGTTAACTAAATTCGTGGTATCTTAGCTACGAGAACAGCGTTCCGCTCTGATGCCGTTTTCACTCTGCTCTGCTCGGCTGCTGCCCCCACAGGCCTCCCGTCCCTTCCTGTCCTCAGCCTCCGCAGCAGACAGGACCCCAGGCAGGGCCCTGGGGCAGCCGCTCCACTCAGCCCTGCTGGCCCCGGCCCGCCGGGTCTCGCCTGCCCCATCCCCAGCGGCAACTGGCACCGAGATCTCTCCCTGCCCTGTGCGTCCCCCGTCTCCTGAGTCAAAGCCGAACCCCTGGCCCTAATTCCTCTCCCGTCAGGATCTCAAAGCTCGTTAGTGTCTCAGTGTTGGAGAGATGCAAGGAGCCTGCCTCTGCAGAGGTATTTGGCAGACTGGAGGTCACCTCCTGGGTGGGGATGGTCCCCAGAGTAAGAGGAGTAATCGTGGGACTCCGGTCCCTCTGGGTCCAGATGCCTGCTGCACAGGCTATGCCCAGCAAGTCCAGGATCTCAGAGCTGTGCCCCACGGGGGCCACGGTGCTGCCCAGGGAGCCTGTCACCCCTACGCTGGTTCCCTCAGAGGTAAACGAAAGCACGGGGCGATTGTGACCGATAAACTAAGCCGGTCACATCTGTGAGGGCTTATGCTGCAGACGCACAGGCACTTGTCACTCACTCGGCTGGGCCTCCACCTGGGAGGCTCTCCCGTGACTCACCAGCGTTGTGGCAGTGACAGGGATGAGGCTGGTGACAGGGCTCTTGAGACTAACGCTGTATGGTGCTCGGAACAGCCTGGCACTGGCTCGTGAGCACGGCTAAGTGACTGTCGAATGAGCAGTGGGCAGGCTGTGCAGTGCCCTCCGTGCGTCTGTCCCCTACGGACAGCAGGTGACGGCTGGCCCTGGCAAGGCGGGCTCTGTCCAAAATATAAGCGTTAACATTCTGGACGCCCAGCTTCCTGAGTCTGGGCTTAACTGGGGTAGATGAAGTCTGTCCTGACCAAACCGGGCCCTCCGGCTCCTGCGGCAGTAGTGCCACAGAGTCAGAGCTCTGTCATTCGCCAAATGAGCCTGAGGGTCCAGATCAGGACAACAAAGAACAGCAGGATCCAGAGTCGGGAGGCGGGGGTGTGGCCTCAGAGCTTGGGGTCCGTTAGCCCCTAGAGTTTACCAGGGGCCAGGTCACACACACACCACAGCCACGGACACACGCCCAGTGACAGCAGGATCCAGAGTCGCGAGGCGGGGGTGTGGCCTCAGAGCTTGGGGTCCTTTAGCCCCTAGAGCTTACCAGGGGCCAGGTCACACACACACACACCACAGCCACGGACACACGCCCAGTGGGGTCTGTCACCGTCACCCGTGGAGTGCGTTCACCACTACATTTGCTCCAGAGAAGATACGTCTGCCACACAGCGTCATCAGAACTTCTAGACTTTTTAAAACTCTTTTTATGCCAGCAATCCCAGCAAAGATCACGTTCCCTCCGCCGAGTGACCCGGTGAAAGGCTGTGCTGCTCACCCGGCGCTCGGAGGGGTCCCCTTTAATGACAGCCCTCCGGCTTTGCCCGCGCAGGTGGCCCCAAAGCCGAGCGCGGTCGGGGCACCCGCGGACCAGCGGTTAGGACACTCGCCACCGCCTGGGCCATCAACGCTGCTCGAGTCGGCGTCTCCAGAGGCGCTGGCGGTGCCTTCACGCTGTCGGGGACGTTTTCTCTAATTCCTTTCTCGCGCCCCCCGCCACCCCGCAATGACAGACCGTGCTGCGTCCGCAGGTCACTCTGGAGCCGCCACCGCAGCGGTCGCCGCGAGCGCCACGGGGGTCCCCGCCGCCCCGAGCGTCCC